TTCCGCCTCCTGTTTGATGCACCCCATCGCTTCGGAAGAGTGTCATGCTTTGCAAGCTCACTTTGTTGTCTTCAGTGTTAGGGGACAGTCATGTTTTTCTTACGGTTATGATCTTCACATCCGTCTAGGAGCATATATTTCTGGTTTCTAACAGCTTAACCCTTGGTCCTCTTACACTTCTATGGAGGCAATTGGTAGTTTTTCTCAGCATGTCTGCATGTCTGCAGCAACAGCTGCTGTTGAGTTTTTGAACAAGTTGTTAAAACCGAGTCGCCCAGTTCTGTTGGAACTGGTCGATCGAGGTCAACTGTCAATGTTTTGCGTTTATTTAGGCCTTCCTGCCATTGTCTAAGTCAGGTTTCACAACACCTGATATAGCTAGACAGGTTGTTCCTAGAACTGTACCAAACCTCGAATGCCTCAGTCAGGTCTTCCCGGTTCCTGAATGTGTCAGCCATCAGAGTAGTGACTTGATGTACATGAGGTAGGACGGGCGTGGCAACCTAGAGATGCAAAGAGCCGTCGTGGTCTGAAGTTCTAGGCTAAGTGATATCCATCGCCACTGTTGCACATCGTGCATGTGAGCTACCGCCAGTGAGTTTGGGTATTCCATGAACTACGATGGTGGCCTGCTCTTGGATGCCTGCCGTTGTCCCGGCTGCCGCCCGTACAGACTATCATCATGCCTGATACGATTCGGCGAGAACCATTTGGCGGATGGCCTTTGGGATGAGAGGTGGATGCCTTCAGCAAGTTGCGCTGAGTCTAGAGTTACCCTCATTGGAGGGGTTTTCCTTTTCGAGATATTCTGGCCTTTGAACAGGCGGCATATTTTAGCTAGGGTAATTAGCATTCCGAGGACCGTGCAGTATTTATCCCACTGTTATTTGTCAAAGGCAGACTTACCTTTTAGCAAGCTTCCTTCCGATACTGCGACAATAAATAAAATAAGTGAATTTATCTATCGTCCCTGTCCTTGAGTGGTAGCCGTTTGTGAGTTGTGGAGTTGCCAATCCTCTTCTTCACATTCACTTACCGTTCTTTATTGTTCACAGATACTGAGGAGTTAACAACAACCGGCAGTTTTGTCGGTGTGTTAGTTAGGGTTTTGGTTGCCTTAGTCACCTGTTTTACCCGTATAGTGCCAGGCGATTTTAGTTATGCCGTTGGGACTTTTGAGCTGATTTTAGGCGTTGCCTGTGGCTTCATCAACGACTCAGATACTCCGTGGGCAAATATACCAGAACCACGGGAAGGAGTAACTGAGCATGAATCCATAGTAATCTTTAGGTACTGTAGTATTGCAGTGACAATGGGTCCATGTACAACAGAAATTGCATTGAAAAGTAGGGTCACTGATTTTGACTGGCCATGAGCAGGCAAAATAGTCATTCTTATGCGGTTTCTGGACGACAGACAGTTTCGAATGAGCCTTTGGACTCCTTTTTCCTCAAATCTCAACTAACCTACTGGTCATTTTAGGAATTGGATTCCGCTGTTTTAGACCTAGTGGTGTTTGAGTTTGAGTAATCTGAATTATGGACACTAATATGAGCAATGCTTTCAAGTGACGGTTTGATTTTTTTCACAACCCGGTCGCCCGAGACTAGAATTTCCGACTCACTATCAGACCTGGGGTTCATAGTTCTGCAGGTTTTCCTGGTTGTTATAGTGTAAGATGTGCCATCAACCTTATTACTAAACATGATACCAGATGGATTTGGAGGTCGAAGCCGAAATAATTAAGACACGAAATGCACGGAATGGAAATTTAAGAAAGATGAATTTAGTAGTATATAATATAACTACAAGGAACAGGGTCTGAAAGTACTCCGAAATTTCAACTTTACCTTTTAACGTCCTAGTAAGTAACTTCGCGTGTATCCAAAAACACGTCCACTCCTCCTGTGTTTCCGGGTGAGTGATTGTGTATGCTGCCGAAGCAGCTATAGAGAGTGCAGTTGATCGAGTCAGATAGACCCGACCGCACAATGGTTCTGACATTGAACGATTCCGTTTGCCTGAACTTTACTCAGATTGTCGACCAGTGAATGGAGACAACTGTTTCGGTTTTGGGAGTGATTCAATATCCCAAACTAGGGTCCGAAAATGGATTGTTTCCCGTGAATGAAGGGATGTCAGAGAGGCCACGTCAAACTCGAAGGGCGCGCTCAGATGGCGTAGATGGGGTAGAAAATATAGAGGTAAATATATCCCCAAGATAAGTAATGAAAGTGGACAGCATTTTCATCAAACTATGGGTAGAAAAATTCCGCTTCGCTCCAAATGTTATTACGCTTGACTTAAGGCAACTCAAGAATTCGTAAAACCCACCTGACGACTTAGCACACACATTTTCGTCAGTCGCGATTATTCACGTTGATATTTTGGAACAATCTGTGTCACACGTATCTTTATTTCGCGCCTACCAAGTTATCTGTTGAACACCTAATTGTTCTCTAACAAAAATGTACACCTCCTACACTCGAAATTTATGACCTTCATACTTGCTATACAGAAGTAATCTGCGAAGATTGGTGAAACATTTATAATTCCAACGGGCTACGTTTCTGAGACGAGGATTGCCTCGTCAATAAACTTATTTTGGACGTTCTATTTATAAACGTTTATCTAACTAACACTTAAGGTGTAATAGGAATCGGTCGTTCTACCCGAAGCATTGATTTTTGAAGCATAATTAACCGAAAACCGTGGATCAAAAGGTTTGTTTCATCATTTAGTTTCCTAGGTTTTAACTCCTTAAGAACAATCTTCCAATTTATTCCATGTTAAGGTGACCAGCCTGGTCGGATTCGATATAGAAGGTTTGTCTGGATTATGTATAACGTCTCTTTCCTCTTTACTTCCGACTCCCATCTTCGACACACTTTCCAATATCCAGTATCTTTTTCACGAGCTAGTGTAAACCGATTGGATTTCTTCGCGCTCGATTCTTGTTCTTTTGATACGGTTCCAGGTGTTTGGTAATGTCCGATGGGTGGAGGTCTAGACACTCGACTGTCTAATCTTAGTCAGTTAGCAGTTCGTTGTGAGTTTGTATGTCTCGGGACTTGAATGAAACGTTTGTTTCAGGGCAGCAGGGTTTCTGGATACTAGCAGCCGTCACATTACCGAACCGGAGATCAGTTGGTTGCAATGTGGAGAGTATTAAGGGTAATAAGGATAAAATTAAAATGATAATATGAATAAAATTTCAGAGGTGAGTTATTTATAGATGAATTTAGTTTGTTAATTGGTAGTGAGGATTGTGAGAGAGAAGTGTAAGCAAGGGAGAGGAAACAGAGATAATAGGCGAGATAGATTAATTGAGTGATCTGAGGAGATGGCAATGATAACAACTAGCAGTTCCCAAGATATGCGTCATGAACAGCTTGTCCAAGAGGGAGATGATAGTCCGTATGTGTGTACGTGATTATCAAGTCTCTTCTTAAAGCAGTCCACTGAAGGGGTTGCGGTCACCTCGGCTGGGAGATCATTCCAAGTTGTGACGACTCGCAATGAGAAAAAGTGTGCACGAATCTGAGTATTCGCTCTTTGATGTGCAATCTTTCGAGGATTGCCTCGAGGGGAGTGGTGGTGATGCATCGGTAAGATGCTCACATTGGGATGGTTTGGCGTGTTTAATATAGTGTACGCCATAATCTGATCACCTATGATTCTCCAGTAGCTCAGTGGATATGATCCCAAGAGCTTGAGTCTATCATCGTAGGGTTTATTTTTCAACCCTATCACCTATTTGGTTGCTCGTCTCTGCACTCGATCCAAGAGATTTATGTCTCTTTTAAGCAGAGGGGGTGCGATGACGTTGTGAACTTCCAAGTGTGGGCGCGCGTATGTCTAAACAAGGTTTAAAATAATTTAGGGGTGATAGCACCAAGCTGTCTTCGCATAAAGTGAAGAGTCGCATTTGCCTTGGCTGCATCCACTACATAGTTTGGACTGGTGTGGAGGCTTTCTGTGGTTATTAAACCAAGATCGCGCTCTAAAGAGATATCAGGGAGCCGACTTCTATTGAGAGTATAGGTCGTTTGCGTCATGAGGCAGGAAATGCATGACGTGGCACTTCGGTTGGTTGAGTTTTAAACCGTTTTTTACTCCCCATTTCTCAATGGATGTAAGGTCCTTTTGAAGCTCAGTCGATTCCCCCAGATCTTCCCATCGTCTGCGTAGATCAATGTCGGTGGGCTGACTGAGCCTATTAGGTCGTTAATAAATATCAGGAAGAGAAGTGAGCGAAGGATGGTCCCCTGTGAAGCTCCCGAAGTGGATACTCTCCAACTCGCGTGCACTCTGTTTACCTTAGTGCGAAACTTTCTATTCTCAGGGTAGTTTCTGAGCCAAGATAGAAGTGGGTCAGTGGAGCCCATTCCCCCAACCTTTTCGATTAGGCGTGCGTGGGGCTCTGTGTCAAAGGCCTTTGCAAAGTCGAGGAATATTACGTGTACCGGTATTTTACGGTCTAAACAGGATATCCAACTATCTGGTTGTTTCGCAACTTAAAATCGATTGCCTAATCATATAACCTTGGTAATGTATACTCCTGAAACCAAAATTTATGGTGTTACTACAGTAATTATAACAGTGCGTCAAAATCGTTAATTTGACCGGTGGCAATCAAACTAACGTCAGAAGACTAGCAGATCTAACTCCAAAAAGCTAACCGTAACATAGTGTATAAAGATACCCTGGTTACACCAACAATATTGAGAGGGTCTAAAGAGGCCTTAAAAGTAGCTTTAAGAGTATAAATAAGAGTTTAAATATAACTTTTGTTATGATACACAAGACAAATCCTAAAATCATTACAAGGGGAAAACTTCAATTCCGTTTATCACATAGCGCTCGTATGTAACCTGAGACAGTACCCGTTAATTATATGCCAGAAAATTCAAAACTTCAGCAAGTGTACGTACTAGTTATATCGTTATTACGAAGATGAAAACCTAATAGGACATTGAATCTACAATTACTAGCTGGACTATCAGCGTACGTGTTTAGAAAACAGCGCTACACTGCTAGATGGCATCATCTGTAGTTTTGTACTATTTGACACTCTTTTCTTGCACTTAATTGGAAATTTCCATGGCTGGAAAAGAGTCGAAAGGATTCGCATTGTTTCAGATCAATAGTCAAGATGTTTGGGATGCAGATGATCGCGAATACCTGAATATTATATCTCCCAAGGGTTGTTTTTCAATTTATTGATTATTTTGCGTTAGTTGTACAGAAAACAGCACAAAAGGTTCTGGAGTTACATAGAAAAGAGTCTGAAATCGCCGAAAAACAGAATGATGGACACAAAAGTGTAAGTGTATTGTGTGATGTCTACAATTCTATCTATACAATTAATTTGTCTTTCCCATTGTATAATCCTTATTCTAAATCCATTGTATCGAAACCCCTTTAATTTGTACGTGGTGTAGGACTGAGTTGGTACTTATTTACGATATTTGTTAGCTCATTTTCTATTATTCCCATCAGTTGTGTTTAAGGTGAAAACTGATTTGGATTTAATGTATTTGAAAGCTTTTGATTTTGCTCGATTACATGCTGGGCATAATCAACTTGGTTTATTTATAGGTTTTCTTCTCCTGATTAATTCATCAGTTAGGGTTCTTTTTTGAAAACCTGGACTTTTTAAAGCAAATTTACGTTACACGCTACGTACACTTGTCCATTGCGTCTCTTACTCAGTGGTGCTTCATCGAGTGAAAAGGCTCACAGAGATGGATGCTTTTTGAAACTGCTTGGCCTTACCGCGAAGCTAAAGCAGGTTTAAGATGAAATGAAGCAGTTGTGTCGAAGACTATCGGTTCATCATGACCTCTTGGTTGGGATCCCAGAGACCCAACAACTCAAACAGACAGACAGATACAACGCAGAACTTCGTACGTTAGTACATCAATTCAGGTTGCCATGCCCCATCAGCACAAAGACGCAACTGTCAGTTCAAATCCAAGAGTGATAGCAATAATAGAAGTATTAGCAGTAATGGAGATTAGGTAGCGAAGATATGATTCGAGAAGTATAATTCAGTAAGATGAATTTAGAAGGAGAAAGGTAGAGGTGTGTCAATGAACCTGGTGGCTGATTATAAAATTTGATCGCTACCCCTTTCTAATTTTCTATTATATTCACAAAAACTAAGATTATTTCCAGTCTTTATTAATAAAAACAAAAGGTCAAGCGACCCATAATAATGTAACTTTATAGTACTGTTAAGGCCAAGTGTTGCTTTCAATATATATAAATACGTTGCCGCTACTAGGTGTCCCAGCAGAACACTAAAGAATGGGAGATGCCCGAGGATCATACCTTGGGAAACTCTAATGTTTATAGATGTTTATGATGATAATGCCCTTTTTACACAATCTTCCCTTCCTATCACTGAAAGGTTCACTTATCCACTGTCTAATTAGATAATGAATTCCGAAACTTTCCAGTTTTATGATAAGACTTAGGTGGGAATTCTTTTCGGAATATTACTATCCCTCGCTAAAATCCAATCTTCTCTTGCTATGAGGAGATTTGTGAAGCATGGAACGCCTTTTTAGAAACCAGATTGTTGTTCGGCCAGAAGATTACTCTTTTCTATATGATTTAGTATAACAATCCGAATAAACTTTTCTGTTAGTTGGACAATCATTCTGGTTAGACTAACAGGTCGATAGTTACTAAACAGTCTCTACTCCCAATTTTGTTAACCCAACTGATAATGACATCTCCTTCTGTCAATATCGACGTATCTCCTTGAACCAGAAGTAACGAGATTTCGACACTTTCCTGAATTCTCCTTTTTATTTACTAGAGCGACCTTGATGGGCTATTTTCGATCTCCAAGCAGTTCTTTATCATACGAGCCTAGCCTTAATTTTCAACACTGCAGGCGTGCCTAACCTTAAATCAAGTAGATTCGTATCATTCAGAGCCTATACAGATAAACGTATTCCAATGTCTTTGTCTAAGTTTCTTGACCATCTATAGTTAGTAGTTATTGTGTGTATGTGGTACTAAGCACGGTATAAACGGGGACAACTGATGTAAGTGTACCTTTAAATATAGACTATGCTTCTTTTGTTGATGAGTCAATGTCGGCCGATCAGTTCGTCGTTGCAGCACACTCCTATGTGGCTATAATGTTTGCTTTGCCTAAACTCGGGCGGTGTCGAACCTGGTCTTAAGCTATGTTACTAGCTTTAAATATGTATGACTAGACAACTTGATCGCTAGTAGCCAAGTGTAAGTGCACACTTTTTAAAATGAGTTCATAAATCCTCTCCACTCTGTTTCTTGCATTTATTCTTGTCACCTTATAGGTGGGTAAACCGCAATAGTTTGGGAATGGAGTCAAAGTCCTGGACTAGCAAAGTTTCAGTCATAGATATAACTGGCCTTAATTCGTCCACTAACCCTCCTAATTCATGTAATATACTTGTCAAGTTATGAGTATTAATGTTTGAAATACACAGGTGATGACATCCGAACAGGTTTTGATACCATTAACTTCCAACGCAAAACTATGTAGCAGTATGTCTATGACGAAATAAACAAGAATGGGGAAAGTGGACATCCCTGACGGACGCCGCTTGAAGTAGAGAATTCCGATTACATTTCGCCATAGTCTTTCACCCGACCAGTAGAGGTGTTCGAGTACACTGGTCGGGTGAGAGCCTATGTGTCTACACATCGTCATGTAGATTCCTAACTTAATGCTGCATTCATGACACTATGTATCTATCCATCTAGCAAGTTCACATATTAGCTTTGTTTTGCATTATGACTAGCCTCAAACAAGGTACTTTTCGATTTTAGTATGATATGGTTTATAAAGACTACATTGTACTCGTACAATAATTTCGCCTAACTATGTTATTGTCAATACAGCCATCTTATAACTTTGTTATGATGTTATGCGATGTTCTAAATTGGTCGAGAAGGTATCTAATATATATGTATATATATATATATATATATATATATATATATATATATATATTCCTTCCCTTTAGAATATGAATCCACCTCTTGACCAATGAAATGTTTTGATCCTTAGGGATATTTCTGATGGTCATCAAGTGGGTTTCTTATTAATTAGACCATTTCTGATCGATTCACACTACATAGAACTCTTTAAGATTGTAAAGCAAATTCATGTTTTCAATAATCTACCTGTCAATCTATCCTTTTTCTTATTTTTAGATTGAATCACTTGAAATTAAAAATTCACTTGTACTCCCACCATATGAAAAATTCCCAAAACATGCACCTGGTATGGGTGTAAGATTACGAGCAAGTCCGGATGATTTTACTGTTGCACATCAAAAACTATTAGATCAAGGTCGAAGTCAACGTTTCAAAACGTGTATCAATTCAAGTATAACAGATTTAAGTAAGTGAACAACTTGGTTTGATTTAACCTTTTTTTGTTTGTTTGTTTGTTTGTTAAAAGAAAGACCTTGTGTTTATGTGTTAGTTTCAAGATGGTTTTGATAAAAAGTCATTCTTTTACTGTTTATAAACATGAAAATAATTGGTGCAAGCTGTTTAATGTATGAAAAACGTTTCGCGTACTCAAATCGTTAGTATTAATGGCGCAAGGCGTTAATGGAGCGAAAGAAGAATGAGTCATGGAGACGAGAGAGTTATCAAGATGTGTAGGAAGGATTTAATTGTGAGCAAGTTGATCTCGTGTTCTGTTACGGATATGAGGGCGCATGTAACTCTCCGGTTGCCCACACCGTGGAAGGGTGTTTCTTGAGGGACCTGAAAAGGAAGTTGAATTAATGTCGGTCTCAGAAACCTGGTAGCGTGACCGCAAAGCCATAGGAACAACTGTTTGAAGCCGGTCGAGCACAGCCTTTTGTATTAAGTTGATTGGTTGGATCCGCTCTTCAAATGGCCTTACCACAGCAGACGGAAATCCGTGAGGTTATACATTTTTAGAGTCGACCTCTTCTAACCCGTTCCTTACGTGTGAGAAGGCACCATCGCTCCAGATGCTGATCGTCCGAGGGAAACACCTTACTGCTGTCACATCCCTCTGCAGTCAGCAGTGCGACTTCACCTTCAGTTGCTGCTTTTAGTCTCACTGTTCTCGAGTCAACCTGCCGGGTATGGTAGAACCTACAGAAATATATGTTCCAGCCAATATAGCTCGTTTGGGTCATCACGACAGGCAAGCCCGACCACCACGTCAAGATTAGCGGCTACGGTTGAGACAGGAAATATTATCTACGAATAAGGACTAGGAATATATATTATGTCTTATTAATACTATTGAAAAACTTTTATTTAATAATGTTTGGTTTTTCTGTCCGTCTTTGTATCTGAACAGTTATATCTCTAATTTATCTATACTCTTTGTTCCGTTAGTTTATTTTCTTAAATCTCAAATTCGCTTACCGCATGTCATTTCTTTCGGAACATTTACCTTGTAAAAGTCGAATCTGTTATGTAATCCAACTATTTACAATTTACATGTACTACTTAAAATTCCTGCCCGACGGTAGCCAGCACCTCGATCCCGAAAAATGTCACACCTCACCTTACCTCACAGATCTTTGTCTCTGGTGGTAAGGCCATTTGAAGAGCGGAGTCAACTGATCAAGTGAATACAAAAAGGCCGTTCGCGATTGGTCTGGAGCAGTTGTCCCTTGGGCTCTGCGGTCGTGCTCCCAGGTCTCTGAGACCAACATTAATCTAGCTTCCTTGTTAGGTTCCTCAAGAAGTACTCTTCCATGGTGTGAACAGCCAGGAAGTGACATCCTCCTACATATCCATAACAGCATACGAAACCCAAATTAGTCACAATGAAATAGAAAAATTGCTGCATTCAATTTAAACCGTTTCATGGGTTCGGATGTACTGATCACCTACCAAATGACATATCTGTCTGTATTTGTCCATCTTTATCCTTCCCTTCAATCCAGAACTCTTTTAACGAGATTTTCAGTTGAACATTTTAACAAAGTAGCATATCTCTTTTTGTGTTTTAATTACCACCTCGAAATTCAATCATAACTTTCAATAAATCTTTTCCTCATGTTAACTACCCAAGCGATCGATTTCATATCTTCGAACTTATTCAATATTTTATTCACATGTAGTACTGTCATTTATTTAGTGAAAAGAAGAAATAGCGTAAAGAGAAATGAGAATTTTCACTAGTTTTCAGTATTGTCGATGCATAGACAGCAATATATTGCTTAGTTGGAATGCGTATAGTTTATTTATGATATTCAGACTGCCTCGAGAAGCTATGTTTTGTGGTGTTGGAGTAGGGGTTAGAAGATAGCTATGAGCGACCAAACCAAAACATATAGCACAAACCATGGAGTCACTAACAACTGGCTTGCTTTATGTTGGTAGGTTTAGACTAACAGGTTTGTGTCCGCGATATTATAGTAATTGATGATATGGCTCAAAACTGTTCGCAGTGGTGCAGGTGTATCCATACTTTGTCTTCTCTCCAATCCTAATATTCCGGATTCTTCATCACCTTTAACTTTCTATTTTTAAGTTCATTTCACTAGATCTTACTTCCTGAATAATGTTCCCGAACCGTAATCTTTCCGATGATTTGATAATACTTCTATTATCTGTACTACGATGGGATTTGAACTGAGAACCTAGAACTTTAGGGGTGGACCGGAAGGTCCACCAGGAGACATAGTCCTACTTGGTGAAGACGCTGACAAAATGCAGAATCTTCTGGCCACAGTATGCAACAATGCAGGCATGTTCGGGATGTGATTCTCCCCGACGAAATGCGTCGGCACCTGAACTAGTGCTAGGTAGTGAAGCAGTTGAACGTGTCTACCGCTCTACTTACCTTGAGAGTCCCTTCAGTGCTGATGGCCTGGTGTACGATGAAATTTCACCATGGATATAGGGGGCTCCAATTGGCTTTTGTCAACTTGCGTCAGTTATGGTGTAATTGAGATATCCATCTACTAACCAAAGGGCGACGTTAAACCTGTAAACAATGTTAACTATATATTCCTGTTCATGTTGATGAATGGAACATTTTTGTGAAACACCCGAACTTTTCAAATTTAATGTGTTAAAAAATATTTTCCTTTTTTAATCTAATCATTTGATGTTTTTGACAGCAGAATTAAAATATGTAGTTGATTTGAAAAAAAAAGTCAAAGGTGACAGATATACTTACACCATACACCATACACTAAACAATCTGATCATATAAACTCGTCAATAATATTTCTCACTTTGGGAAATTAATAAGCGTTCAATAAATATGAAGTAATCAGTAGAAATGAAGGGAAAAGGCTTTTTTTTCCTTACGCCTGTTACCCATCATGTAGCATAAGTTGCCAATCAGCATTGTCCAACCTACTCTGTCCTAGACCTTCCTTCCTAGTTCTATCCAGTTGTTGTCTATTCTTCTCATATCTATCTCCATTTTTTCGCCGTATTGCGGCGTCTTTTGGTCTTCATTATTTTCATTTGGCCTTGACGATTCCAAGTGGGAACTTGTCATGTGATACAATTGGGTGTTTTCCTCAATTTGTGTCCTATCTATTAAACAATGAAAAAAACACTAGTTTAGTGTGAAAATGACGAGTTTACTACGCAGTAGTTCACTTTGTGCTACTATACTGGTGGGAAACATTGTATGGCAATTTGAACTGATGTATATACGTACAAATTTCTACGTTTTTGCTCGGAAAATCATCCCACCTAGTTTTGAATATGAAGAAGAGCGAAGTCAGCTTTTAAGCGCAGGCTGATAAAAAGCCTACGCAATGATCGCGAACAGTGGTGGGCAGTGATAGCATGATCGACTCTTAATGAAGTTGAAGAAGCTATTGGAAATCTGAAGCAAGGGAGGGCAGCTGGGCCTGACAGGCTTGCCCCTGAGAGTTTTAGGAAGTTGTGGTCCAGTTTTACCAGCTACATTGACTGAGATCTAGAAACTGGGCTTAATCTCATCCAATTGATCTCAATCACTGATTGTCCCTTTCTTAGAAAAAGAAAGATAAAAGTCCTCTTGTGACATTCATGAAGGATTCAGTAAAACTAATTTAGTGTCTAAACTGTTGGCCTCGATTATACTTAGACGTCTAACTAGAGCTCGTGAAGAGCAGACTTGCCAAACCAGGCTGGTTTCCATTTGAATGTAGATGTATAGACCAGATATTCACACTATGTCAGGTCTTAGAACAACGACACACGTCCAGACGCCTGAAAATAGTAGTATTTCTCGACCTTAAAGCGGTGTCCGACTCTGTCAATTGCGAGGTTCTGTTGCATTGTATGTCATTAAAAGGTGTACCAAGAAGTACATTAACCTTATACAAGCTCTCTACTTGAACAATATTGGTCGAGATAGAGCTCATGACGAACTGTGGTCGGAATTGACTACTTCAGGTGGTGTTGTCTGTCAGGAATCTCCACTTTCTTCATTCTTGTTTATCTTTGTCGTAGATATGCTTTTAGAGTTAACATTATCATCGTCTGACTTTTCAGGAGTTGACCTTTTACCAGGACACACGCTTGCTGACTTAGAATATGCAGGTGACATAGTTCTATTTGATGAAGACGCTGACAAAACGCAGAGTCTTCTGACCACGTTGAGCAACAATGCAAGCATGTTCAAGATGCGATTCTCCCCGTTGAAATGCAAAATGTTGCCTCAAGATTGGGTTGCATCGGCACCTGAACTAGTGATAGGTAGTGAGTGAAGCAGTTGAACGTGTCTACCGCTTCACTTATCTCGATATTCTCATCAGTGCTGATGGCCTGGTGTACGATGAAATTACAGCACGGATATAGGTGGTTCGAATGGCTTTTGCCAACTTGCGTCACCTATGGCGTAGGCGAGATATTCGTCTGCTAACAAGAGGACGATTGCACTGCTAATGTGGTATGGCAACCTGAATCTATGTACGTACGTACCAGGTACTACGTTGCAACTGACTGACTGACTAACTAACTAATCAATAACCAATTTTCCAATAACTGCTGTTCTAATCCGGTATACATCAGAAAATTAAATTTTCTTTTAATAATGATAATAATCGTATGATAAAGTTTATTTCACTTAGATTGGAATTTACTGTGAAATTTTTAATTTTCTGATCGAATAACAACAACAAGAACTCAGTAATTGCTATCGACACAGGAATATAGATTTTCTTTTTTTAAATAGAAAATGGCTTCACAATTTTATTCATAAATAACAATAACCTTTATGATATCTGAAGATTATCATGTTTGATCTACTCTACAGAAAACAATTCTTTTGTTTTATTTGAAATTGGTAATCAGTATTCATTGATTTCGCATTCAGATAGTCAGTCAGTCAGTTAGTCAGTTAAAACGTAGAACTTTGTACGTAAGTACATCACTTCACATGTTGTTATGACACATTAGAACTGAGACGCAATTGTTAATTCAAATCCCATAACTGGTAGAGATAGTAGAAGAATTACTGCTAATGGAGAGGATTAGGATTTGAAGATAATATTCAAGAAGTATAATTCAGTGAGATGAATTCAGAGAGACAAAGATAGAGGTTTCGACGAATTCAGGAGATAAAGATTTGAGAGAGCTCAAAGAATGGATGCACTTGCGCCATTGCAAACGATTTTGAGCCATGTCGTTCAAGGTCTCTAACCATTGGTGACTTTCGTCTCGCGGACCCCAACCAGGTAGTCTACATCTATCAACATGACTCAGTCCACTTGTCAGTGACTTTATGGATTTCAGCCATGTTTTGGTTTGGCCACCCGTAACTTTCTCCCAACCTACTCCTACACCACAGAACATAGCTCGTCGCGGCATCGAAATGTTTGAGAGTGAGCTAGGTTACTACCGGTCGAATATTCGCTTTTCGTCCTCGTAATTTTCGATAATCAACACCGTCGCCACGATTTAAACTTCGTAGATGATCTGACTCTTCTATCATACACGCAACAACATTTGTAAGAGAAGACAAACAGTCTAGCAGCAGCGGGTGTCAACATACATCAAGAGAAAAGCAAGATTCTGCAATACAACACAACATGCGCCAACCAAATCACTCTTGATGGAAATGCCTTGGAGGACGTTAAAACCTTAACATATCTGGGCAGCGTCATCGACAGTGAAGGTGGATCCGATTCAGATGTGAGGGCGCAGATCGGCAAGGGAAGGGCTGCATTTCTACAATTGAAAGTATCTGGAACTCTAAACAAATATCACTCAACACCAAGATCAGGAATTTCACTACAAATGTCAAGGCAGTTCTACTGTATGGAGCGGAAACTTGGAGAACTACCAAAGCCACAAGATACAAGTGTTTATGAACAGTTGTCTACGAAAAATACTTCGAGTTCGTTGGCCAGACACCATCAGCAACAACGAACTGTGGGAGAGAACGAACCAGATTCCAGTGGAGGAGGAAATCAGGAAGAAGTGGTGGAAGTGGATAGGACAAACACTACGAAAAGCACCTAACTGCGTCACGAGACAAGCCCTCACATGGAACCCTCAAGGCAAAACGAAAAGATGAAGGCCGAGGAATACATTACGCCGAGAAATAGAAAAAGAAATCAGAGGAATGAACAAACATTGGACAGAACTTGAGAGGGAAGCCCAGGACAGGGTATGTTGGGAAAAACTGGTGGGCGTCTTATGCTCCATCGGGTGTAACAAGCGTAAGTAAGCAAGTCGCCACGAAATAGCATTGAGTGGGAAAGTAAATTATACACGCCTGTCCATATAAAAGCATTTCGTGAGCGAAAGAGCTAACTAACTCTTGCCACTCTCGACCGTACCAGTGCATTTGAATGCATAACATTTAATCCAAATAGGTTTTAAAAGTATTTGTTAAGTTTTTGTACAGAAACTGTTATGGATATCGTTATAATTCTCTTTTATTACGACCCAGCTGTTCCCTAATGCATAGTATTCTTGGACACCAATTCACTCGAGACATCCACCAAAAATCAGAACACGGTTGAACAGGTAAAAATAGATTATATTTCAATAATAAGGTTACAAGGAAGACAGAATGTCCAAAGGAAAAAGACGTTAGTATATTTATAGTCTTCTTACATGAGAAGATTCTAGAATGTTCCCTTAGTATCAATTAGCGCTGATTGGTGGATACGAAAGAGCCAATCAGCGTGCAACAACGTCATCATATTTTAATCCAATCGACGTTTGTTCTAACGATAAATGTAACCGGTTGATCGATCATTCGTTGTTTGAAGATAATGTGACATGGAATTATGCTTTCTTTCTTCTAATGATTACTTTTTATAATTTAGTGAACTTTTATTGGTGTGTGTTTGCATGAGAAATAATACATTGACGAGTTTTATGTATATAGATATATGTGTGATCAGATTGTTGTTCACAATGTAATTAGTGATTGTACAGTGTAAATAATAATGTGTCTGTCACCTTTGTACTTTGTTTATTGTCTTTAAATCAACTAACTCTTCTCAGTACACACACTGTATCGACAGTGGGTTTGTTTGTTTTCGTAACAGGAATTTTTATTGATTGAACAGTCCGTTATTATGCATCATTGCCTGACCGTAGCTGACCGTACCTTGACGTGGTGGTTGGGCTTGCCTATCGTGATGACCCAAGCGAGCTATATTGGCTGGAACTTATGTTCCTGAAGGTACTACCATGCCAGGCAGGTCGATTGGAGAACGATGAGACTAAAAGCAGCTACTTAAGGTCTGAGGGCGAAGTCGTACTGCTGACTGCTGAGGGGTGTGACAGAAGTAAGGTGTTTCCCTCGGACAATCAGCATCTTCTCACAAGGAAGGAAGGGTTAGAAAAGGTCGGCCCTAAAAATGTCACACCTCACCCTACCTCACGGATTTCCGTCTCCTTGGGTAAAGGTGTCCACTGAGGGCCTTTAAGAACTGAGCTAATCCTCAAACTACCTTTCATAAAAAGGCCGTGCGTGACCGGCCTCAAGCAGTTGTCCCTTGGACTCTGCGATCACGCTCCCAGGTCGTTAAGACCAACGCTAATCTACCTTCCTTTTCAGGTTCCTCAAGAAACAACCATCCACAGTGTGGGCAGCCGGGGGAAGTGACAACTGCCCTCATGCCCGTAACAGCACGAGAGACCAAATTGGTCGAAATCTAAAAATGCATCATTGATCTCCTTTTTTATTTCTCTATTTTGAAATTTGATTACTGCATTAATGGTCATCAGGAGTAGCGTTCATCGTTTGTTGTTATTGTTGCTTGTTGGTTTGTTTTTTCTATCATCATAGCTATATTGCGTCAACTTTCTTGGTCGGGAATTCCAGGTGAACTACGACCAACAGTATGGAAATTATTATGTGTAAGTCTATTGTTATTGTTATTGTTTACCCGGGCATTGTTTATGTGCGCTCACTAGTGATTAGCTCTTCGTGAGGAAATTCTCAGAGTTTTAGTAAGAAAACGTGAAATTCAACCCTGTCGGGTGTAGGCAGTAACTACTACCAAAGGCAAATAGGTGAGGTTGCGCAAAATCCCTAGATCAATCAGAGTTAGACATTAATACCGTTGAATGCCACCGGCCCAGTGGTCCAGAGGTTAGGCGTTCGCGCGCAACACCGAAGGTCCCGGGTTCGAGTCCTGCGAGGTGCAGCAGTCGTGGATGCGCACTGCCACTGATGAGTCCCATACCAGGACGGAACGGCCGTCTTTCAGTGCTTCCAGGTTTCTAATGGTGCTGGTCTAACAATGATTGATTGATGATTTCAAATGTGTTATGACACAAATCTCCATAACTATAATTGAAAATTGTTTATTTAATAGTGATTCACATAGTTGTATGAATGACCATGAATGCAATAAAAATGGTTTCAATGATAATTTCATTACAGAATTCTAACTGGAATTTCTATTCATTTTAAATTATGAATGTATGTGAGTTTCTAGTATTTAAGTGTTATTAGCAGTAGTCTATTGTCTGTCTGTCAAGAGTCAGTCAGTCAGTCACCAACAGCATAGAACTTCGTACGTACGTACGTCAGTTCAAGTTGTTATGCCATATTAACACAGAGACGCAGTTGTTGATTCAAATACTATAGTAGTAGAGGTAGTAGAAGTATATTAACAGTAGTTGGAATGATTAGAGCTTGAAAATGTTATGCAAGGAGTATAATCTAGTGCATATCATTTAAGGTCTTTAACCATCGGTTACTATCGTCACGCAAACCCCAGTCAGTTAGTCTACACTTACCAACATGACTCAGTTCACTTGTCAGTGACTTCATGGATTTCTGCCATGTTTTGGTTTGGCTGCCCTTAGCTTTCCTCTAGCCTACTCCTATACCACAAAACGTAGTACGTCGAGACAGGCATATGTAACACATGTCCCAGCCACCTCAACTGATGAAGATTCACTATTTCGTCCATCGATCTACTATCCTTCCCTACCCAACAGCAGCATTACTTACTCGACTGTCCTAGGAAACATGAGCGACGCTTCGATGACACCTATGATTAAAATCTAGTAGCCTGTGGATATCCTCTACTCTTACCGACCATGTTTCGCAGCCATAAAGTTGGACGTAGTGAACTGCTGTGCAGTAAACCTGCCCTTTGGTTGGATTTTGATTAAACTATCTGATTTTCAAACTATTAATAAGCAGTTTGGACTATCATTCCAAATACTTCAGTTCAGTCTGAGCACATAGGCTGTGTTATAAACCTTCACAAACACAAGAGGTTTTCTTAATCCTCATTGTCGTACGTTTAATCAGTCATACACACAATGTATTTAGTGAACATTGTCAAAATGTGTTTTCCATCCCCATTTGGTATTTATATTCATCAACAATCGATTTATCTCGACCATCATTATTTCTGTTGGTTGGTATTGCGAATTTCCTACCACAATTTCCTACCGTTTTCATTCAGTAGACAACAAAGTAAACACATTTTTTTAAAAAAAAATACAATCAGTATGGATTTTTAGTCAGAAAATATAACTGAATAGTTTTTTTTTGTTCTGTTCAGTTTGTCTGAATTGAATGTTTACGGGACTGATGGCTTACATTGTGTTTATAAGTAGTATGTACGTACACTTAACAAAATTGTATGAAAAAAAATGATCAGTCGAAACTGTAGTCTTCAGCTAAATGCATTCACTCATATTGTAGTGAAGGAGAACACAGGTGAGGGCAACCAAATTGTATTTAACGAAAATTACAGAGTTACTCAGTAAAATAGGAAAACCATATCGTAACCGTTAATTTGCAAGTCTTCAATCAGTCATCAATCCATTGTCTGACAGTTCATTGTTCATGCGTTTCATACAAATTCCATTGTGTTCCGACTCTTCCTTTCTTGATCTTCCCCCATCTTCTGCTGCCAGACATTACGTTGACACTCGCGTCATATACTACTTATAAGTAGTGCGCACCACAATATCAGTCCGTCACCTGCAATTTAAAATTTCGTACGTACGTATTATGTACATCAGTTCAAGTTGCCATTTTACATTGGTACAAAGAGGTTGAATTGTCCATTCAAATCACATGACAGTAGAAGTATTAGAGGTAATGAAGAAGATTAGGGTTCAAAGAAATGATTCAAGAAGTATGTGTGAGAATGATGAGGTAGTCAGAAGATTAGAATTTCTGCGCGAAGACAAAGAATCGATGATGTGTTTGCGCTATTCAATTATATACGTGTGCAGCATACCAGACACATTTTCAAGTGGACGGTTGTATTTAGACTGTCAGTAATAATATATGGTTGGTTGGTTGACTAGCTAGCCGAAATCTTAGAAGTTCAATGTCACATCTGTGATGTAATCAATATATTGATTAAAAGAAAAAAGTCAAATGCATCGTTGTTATTCTCATTTTACATCAAGTAATCATTTCTGGTGTTTCACACGTCAATTGAAACTTGTCAATGATTCACTTGAGTGTGCGTATTTAAATATGCATTGCTTACTTTGCTTATTATGTGATTGGTTGGTTAACTTATTTTTTGTCTGATGATAAATAACTAACTAATCATGCCTCCTCATTGCATTGAAATTGGCTTACTCGTTCTTCGTCACTTCGCTTCTCTGTACTTGCTTGTATCACTTCTTTTTCTCTCACTTGTCTGCTTGCTTAAATAAAATATATATAAAATAAATTTATTCGTAACATCGTATTTGACTTGTATTCACCTCTATCGATAACCATTAATACTGCGGCGGCATTTGACTCATTGGATCGTATGGTTCTGTGATAGTGTCTGTCATTGAAAGATGTACCAAAGAAGTACATTAACCTTATTATACAAGCTCTCTACTCGAACACCACTGGTCGAGTGAGAGCTTATGGCGAACTGTCACCGGAATTCTTTACTTTAAGTGGTATCCGTCAGGGATGTCCACTCTCTCCATTCTTGTTCAATCTTATCCTAGACATGCTCTTAGAAATAACAAAATGCATAGTCTTCTGGCCACCCTTAGCGAAAAGGCAAGCATGTTCGGGAGGCGGTTCTCATCCTCGAAATGCAAAATGTTGCTTCAAGATTGTGTTGCATCTGCACCTGAACTAGTGATAGGGAGTGAAGTAGTCGAACGTGTAGACCGCTTCACTTATTTAGGGAATCTGATCAGTGTTGATAGCCTGGTTTGTGACGAAATCTCAGCACGGATACAAAAGGCTGGATTGGCTTTTGCCAACCTGCGTCACTTATGGCGTAGGCGAGATATCCGTTGTCAGTTCAAATCCAATAATGGTAGAGATAGTAGAACAGTTGTAGTGAACGAGAACACTGGTGGGGCAACCGAATTGTATTTGACGAAAATTACAGAGTTGCTCAGTAAAATCGGAACACCATATCGTTAATTTGCAAAATATCAGTTCATCATATCGAACTGGACTGTTCCTGTTGCAAAACATCAATCCATTGTCATTCACTATTCATGCGTTTCATACAAATTCCACTGTGTTCTCACTCTTCCTTTCTTGATCTTCCCATCTTCTGCAGCCAGACATTACGTTGACACTCACGTCATATACTCCTTATAAGTAGCTCGCACCACACAGTCAGTATTATTATGTGGTTGGTTGATAGGCTGTCAAAATTACAATGTCCTATCTGTGATGTAAGATTGATAATAAAACCAATGCATCATTGTAATTCTTCTTCATTATTTTATTTACAATTCAGGATTATCTTCCAACTAGTCCTGACCGACGTGTCACTGTATTATCGGATAAACGTAAACAATATGCCTTGTTTGTTAGTCAATATTTTCATTTTCGTGAAAATCCCAAACATAAACCAATGTTTCATCAAATTCAAAAAGATTTAAATCGTATGACATTACTTTATCGACGACCAGAAATGGTTGCAGTAAGTTTTATATTATTGCTGGATTTCTATTGTTTACTTACTTGCTTACTTACCCTTTTGAGATGATGGAGAAAATTTGTAGCTCAGGTGGATGATTGTGGTGGTGTTTCATTCTCTGAGCTGAATGTTTTGGTTGTGAAGATTTCATTGTTCCTCTGAACAACATCATCCGCACAAACTTCAGACAGAAATTCGAATGCTTCACTGTGGTTTCGTACCAACGACCATGCCCGAAGCAGAGAAATCTGATTAACTAATCTGCGTCATGGAGAAAACTAAATATAAGGTGTATCAATCTGGAATCATGAATGAATCATTATTAGACTGCTACTATTAGCAACTTGGAGGCACTGAAAGACGGCCGTTTCTTTCTGGTATGGAACTCATCAGCAGTGCGCATCCGCGACTCCCGCACCTCACAGGTTTCGAACCCAGGACCTTCGGTCTTGCTGGTAAATGCCTAACCTCTGGACTAACTGAGCCCGTATCTGTCGCGCGCAAGACTGGAGTTGCTGGGTTCAAACCTTATGAGGTGCAGGAGTCGTGGATGCGCACTGCTGATGAGTCCCATACCAGGACGAAACGACCGTCTTTCAGTGCTTCCAGGTTTCTTCTAATGGTGGTCTAACATTGATCCATTCATGATTTCACTGTGTAACTTAACAGTCTTCACAACACCGCAATGCACTTACCAAGTTACAATCGTAATCAACAAAGACGTTAACGCCCAGATAGAATAAGTGACTTATTTGAGGAAGACACTATTTTACACTTGATCTTTAAAATTCCATTTGAAAAACAAACGAATTATTGGTTGTCTTCTTCCACAAATGGTCTATTCTTTAAAACACTATGATCGTGTCTTGCCATACATTTGGATCAGACACTCTTCGATTTAGCAGTAACCTATTGGTGACGTTTCTGTGCACACTACCCATAAATCACCACTATTTAGTACCTCGATGTTTAGGCATTACAGTATCCTTCAAGGTGGTCGAAAATGAAATAATGGCAACCTACGTACAGGACACACATTGTGGAGAGCACCCAACTGCGTCACAAGACAAACCCTCACTTGAAATCCTCAAACGAAAAGAGGTAGAAGAAAGAACACATTACGCCGACAATCGGAAGCAGATATGAATAGTAGTCGAGTAGAACTAAACAGAAAGGCTTAGGTTAGAGTAGGTTGGAGAATGCTAGTCAGTGGCCTATGCTTCATTAAGGGTAACCGGCTTAAGTATACTATGTATTGTTTCAACATGATACAACTGAACAGAATACTAATCTCTCTGTACTCAGACTAACACTTTATTATCATTATTATTGATATGGTTTTTAATTTTTTATTGGTTTTCCAATATGATTCCAAATAGAATTCTTTATTTTATTTATCTTTCACACACATGGTGTGTAGATGTTTGAACGAATTCTATTTGTTTGGTCTATGCGACATCCAGGTAGTGGTTATGTTCAAGGTATCAATGATTTGTTAACACCATTCTTCATTGTATTCCTGTCAGAATATACACATGTTGGTAAGTGTTTTTGTGTTTTCTGAATAATTGTGAAAATAAAAGCTCTTTTTTGTCTTTTTTGGTAAAGAATAATACTTTTGTTTACTTACTTACTTACGCCTATTACCCCCAAGTGGAGCATAGGCTAGCATTTTCCAACCTACTCTGTCCTGGGCCTTCATTTCTAGTTCTAGCCAATCGATGTTCATTCTTCTCATACCTGTCTCCGCCCATTTCTTGGTGTAATGTATTCCTTGGCCTTCGTCTTTTCCTTTGACCTTGAGGATTCCAAGTGAAGTGAACTAATGAAACTTCATCAGTTGAGGTGGTTGGGACATGTGTTGCGTATGCCTAACCACCGACTGCCTCGAAGAGCTTTGTTTTGTAGTGTAGGAATAAGTTGGAAGAAAGTTAGGGGCGGCCAAACCAAAAACATGGCAGCAATCCATGAAGTCATTGACGAGTGGACTTAGCCATGTCGGTAATTGTCGACTACCTGGTTGGGGTCCGCGAGATCATGATAATAATCGATGGTTAGAGACCTTGAATGACATGGCTCAAAACCGTTCGCAATGGCGCCAGTGCATTTATTCTTTGTGTCCTCTCAAATCCTAATCTTCTGGATTCTTCAACACCTTTAGTTTTGACTTTCTAAACTTTTCTCATTGAATCATACTTCTTGAATAATATCTTCTAATCCTAACCTCTCCGATTACTTCTAATACCTTTACTACCTCTTCTACTATTGGATTTGAATACGTACGAAGTTCTACGTGACGCTCAATTATCTGAGATGATTTTGTTTGAGATTCGTATTACTGTTCATTTATTTTAATATGTTTGTGTACTACGTGTAATGTGTGTACTGAAATAGATGTTAAGCCTACATAATGTGTTGCAGCTTTTGGACAATCTAATTAACCTTTTCTGTTCGATTTACGATTCACACGTCAATTGAACTTATCAATTATTCGATTAAAATCTCGGTTATTTTTTCTTGAATGCGTGTATATGCATCACTTACTTCGCTTATTATGTGGCTAGCTTATTTTTGTCTGACTATAAATAGCTAGTCATGTCTCATTGTATTGAATTGGCCTACTCATCTACTGCACTTCGCTTTGCTCTGCTTGTATCACCCACCTCATTCTCACCTGTCTGCTTGCTTAACTGAATGTATGAAATAAATTCATCCGCGAAACTGCATTTGACTTCTTTTCATCGTCGTCCATGATCATTAATATTGCTACAATGTTTACTATACTATGAGACATGAATGGACAATTCGATCTCTTGGTACTAAAGTTGGTATGGTTGGTGACTTGAACTGATGATGTACGTGTATTTACCAAGTTCTACTGAGCACATTGATCGTATATCTTGGAACAATCGAGTAAAGCAATGCTGTTGTTATGAAACGGGTGCTAAGTAAGAGTATGGCAAGTCAATAGATGGAGTAGTGAAACTTCATCAGTCGAGGTGGTTGGGACATGTGTTACGACGTATGTCCAATCGCCGACTGCCTCGATGAGCTGTGCTTTGTAAATAAGGATTAGGTTGGAAGAAAGCTAGGAGTGGTCAAACTAGGACATGGCAGAAATCCATGAAATCACTGACAAACGGATTGAGTCATGTTGGTAGATGTAGGCTACCTGGTTGGAGTCTGCGAGACGAAAGTCATCAATGGTTAGAGACCTTGAACGACATGGCTCAAAATCGTTTGCAGTGGCGCAGGTGCATCTACTCTTTGTGTTCTACAAAAATTCCAACCTTCTGAATTCCACATCATCTCTATCTTTTTGTTTCTAACATTATCTCATTGAAATACACCCTCTTCTTCTCCATTACTACTAATAGTTTTACTATCGCTATCACTATGGGATTTGAACTGACAGTTGCGTCTCTATGCTAATGCGATATGGTAATCTGAACTGATGTACATAAGTATGGAGTTCTGTGTTATATCTGTCTGTCTATATACGCAGTTGTCAGAGACAATAACTCTAGATTATGTATATATCTATAGAATGGTATTTTTCGTATTGATTTTCATATAAAAATGCAGATATATTTGTATAAATATATATTTGTATATATCTAAATGTCTAGTAGAGTACATAAATAAACGTACATTCTTTTTTGAAGTACCTCTACTTACTACTTAATGAAACGCTCTCAGTATCTCTCAGTTTACATTTTCTCGCTATATTTATGTATATATATTCATTCAGATTTAATACCATCTAGTTTGAATGATGGCAAATCATCAGGTAAGTACTACTATCTATCTATCTAGAAGATTCCTTATCAATGAATGTATAGAGTGAGAATAAAATATGAAATGTTTGCCAAATATTTGATTAAGCTGCATTCCATGATAGATTTGTGAAAATGGTTGTTTTTATATTAAAATTATGAATCAATCAATCATGGTTAGATCAGCATCAGTAATTTGAAAGCACTGGACGACGGTTTTTTCCTAGTACAGGACATTTTAGCAGTGCTCATCCACGACTCCTGCTTGCGTAAATCGACTCCGGGATTTCTGGTCTCGCGTGCGAATGCTTAACCTCTAGATCGTTAAGTCCGACGTCCAATGGTGTTATTGTGGTGGTGTTTCGTTCTTTGAGCTGGGAAACGGTCACCGGGCGGCTGATGACGGAGTTCGACAGCCCGGTGTACAGGGAGGAGGCACCGCAGAGGTTCCAGTTGGCGAGGCTGTCGGCTGATGGTGACCCGTTGGTGCTGGCTGTGCAGCTCACGATGTTGCTGCGCCGTACGCTGCCGAGTATGGATTGGGAGTCGGGGACACAGTTGTCGGCGTCGCAATTTATCGAGAGTGTGCCTGCCGCCGTGTCCCAGCAGCGGGAACTAATAAACGCTACACGTTGGATAGATGCTGTACCCATTCCAGACCAGCGGGCAAGAACAATGACTGAAGTAGTAATCCGGCATATTGTAGAGCGTCACGGAATACGGAAGGTGATATTAACTGACCAGGGTCCCTGTTCTGAAAGACTACGACGACAGCTTAATAAAAGGGGGAACGAGTGTGGTGCGATCTACTTATAAGTAGTATATGATGTGAGTGTCAACGTAATGTCTGGCAGCCGAAGGTGGGGGAAGATCAAGAAAGGAAGAGTTAGAACACAATGGAATTTGTATGAAACGCATGAATAGTGACAATGGATTGATGTTTTGCAACAGGAACAGTCCAGTTCGATATGATGAACTGATATTTTGCAGATTAACGATTTACGATATGATTTTCCGATTTTCCTGAGTAACTCTGTAAATTTCGTTAAATGCAATCCGGTTGCCCCACCTGTGTTCTCCTTCACTACACCAGCTCAGAGAACGAAACACCACCACAATCATCCACCTGAGCTACAAGTTTTCTCCACCGTCTCAAAATTGTGTTATTGTCTAACTTTAATGAGTCCAAGGTATTGCGCAACATTTCTCAATGTCTCTTGTCGATAACTGCCTACACTCGACGTGCGATCGAACTCCACTGGTCACAACTTCTTACTAGAACTCGGAGAAACTCCCTCATTGAGCTAATCACCAGTGAACACATTGTGCTGGGTGAGGTTAAGCAAAACCTTAGATTGATCAAAGTTAGAGAATAACACCGTGATGAGCTAGGTCAGCGATCTAAAGGGTTGAGCCTTCGCTCGCGAGACCAAAATTCCTTGGACCGATCCACGCGAGCGGGATTTGTGAATGGGCTGCACTGCTGAAGATTGCTGTACTGTAAGACGAAACAGCCATCCAGTGCTTCCAGATTTTTAATGTTGGTTTAAACAATGGGATTGATTCATGTTTTTAATAATTTGCATTTATGAATGAGATGATTACTAGTTTTTTTTTATTTGAAAACTATTTACATCTCTTCAAAATTTGTAAATGCATGCATTGTGATTTTAATACCTAGTATAAAATGAACTGCATGTTTTAATACATAATTCTGTAGATACATTTGGGAAATCCAGTGTTCATAGTAAATTAGGTATTACTTATAAGTTTATGGATTCTACTACGAGCCATTTAATTCATGGATCGATAAGTATTATATACTATCATCCGATTAGGGATATGGCTTCATTATTAAATTAGTGTAGTTTCGACAAGTCAGGTGGTACGTACACATTTTTGAAACCATGAATCGATCAATGTTAGACCACCATTAGAAACCTGGAAGCACTGGACGGCCGTCTCGTCCTGGTATGGGACTCCTCACCAATGTGCATCCACGACTCCTGCACCCTGCAGGATTCGAACCCAGGACCTTCGGTATTGTGCGCGAACGCCCCAACCGTTAGACCACTGAGCCGGTATCTAACAGTGTTAATGTCTAACTTGATCAAATTCACGGAGTTGCGCAACCTCATGCACAGTCTTTGGTAGTTATTGTCTACACCCGAACAAAGTTGAACTTCACTGGTCACGTCTTCCCACTAGAACTCGGAGAAGATTCCTCACGAAGCTAGTCACTAGTGAGCACAGGTAATTTTCATTACAGGGGTTGTGAAGATTGTTAAGGTACACATTTTTTAAACCATGGATCGATCAATGTTAGACCACCATTAAAAACCTGGAATGGGATAACCGATTAAGCAATGCTATAGTTATTAAAACGGGTACTAGGTAAGAATGGCAGATCAATAGATGAAGTAATGAAACTTCATCAGTTGAGGTGGTTGGGACATGTGTTGCGTATGCTCAACCACCGACTGCCTCGACGAGCTATGTTTCGTGGTGTAGAAGTAGGTTGAGCAAAAGCTAAGGGCGGCCAAACCAAAACGTGGCACAAATCCATGAAGTCACTGACACGTGGATTGAGTCATGTTGGTAGATGTAGACTACCAGGTTGGTGTCCGTGAGATGATATTAATCGATGTTAAGAGACCTTAAATCGTTTGCAATGGCGCAAGTGCATCCACTCTTTGTGTTTTGTATTATCTCAAATCCCAACCTCCTAAATTCCTCATCATCTCTATCTTTCTCTTTCCAAACTTATTTCACTGTGATTTACTTGTTGAATGATATCTTTGATCCCATAATCCCATTTGATTATCGCTAATACTCTTCCTATGCCTCTACTACCATGGGATTTGAATTGACAATTGCATCTCTCTCTCTCTCTGTGTGCTAAAATGGTATGGCGACTTGAACTGATGTACGTATGTACGGACGTACGTGCGGAGTTCTACGTTGTAGTTGACTGACTGCACTGACTGACGGATTAAGGATATAAACACATATCATGAACATGTTGATTTCGATAGGATTGGTGTTTTTTTAGAGGAAATCTTGTTCAATCAAGTTGGTTAATCGATAGTATACATACATATGGCAAAAAATGTTTGTTTGCCCTTTTGTTCTATACATTTCTTCTTCTTCGTTTTCCTGAACGTTATTTAATTCGATAAAATATCATAATACTAATAATAATAATAATAATAATAATAATAATAATAATAGTAATAATTAATTGCCTGAAAGCATGAATTTGTTTGTATGTGTGACTGAGTGTGTGCCTGTGTGTGTGCGCGTTATGTAACTTTTATTTTTTTTTGGCGAATCAATTATCATTGACAAATTGATTACTGGCAGGAAGTGTAGCTTCCCCCTCTCTTATTGAGTTAATTTATGTATGTGTGCAACATATATACAGCATTATTGTTTCATTTCATGCGTATTGGTTTTTGGTTAAGACTGCAATGGAACAGTCTCATTTGTGATATTATATATGCATCATCCTATCTATATGGGGTTGCTTCGATATAGCTAGCCATTTGGAGGTTACAATTATTAGAAAACAGAGATGGATGATGGTTATTAGTTGTTGTAACGCTTGCTTAGTTAATTCTCAGCTAAATCCTATTGCTTAGTATTCTCTGACCACAATACACTGGACAAGTAGTTCCCAAGAATCAAAAAACACGGTTGAACAGGAAAAGATTATATTCCAAATAGCAAGGTGATGGGGAAGGCGAAGGCCGAAAATAGGTACAACGTTAGTCTATTTGTAGCATTTACATGAGAAGCTTCTGGATAGAAATTCACGTGATCGACTAGATTAGATTTAACCAATCAGCAGGCAGCTAACAGTACGAGAATTTGCTACCCTGTTCTCCAAGATTCAATCAGGCGCTTATTGGATAGGAAATCAGCCAATCAGCGCGCAGCTGACGCAGTCATGCTTTAACTCCATCTATGTCCCACTAACATTAGTCGAGTCTGGGGATGTGTGATTCTTCCTGTTCTGGGACTCGTTAACTGAGTGTTCCCCTCAACGGGACTCAAACCCAGTGCGTTTCATTTCCAATGCAATTGGCTTTATCCATTTAGGCAGGCGCCATTGAGTTTTACAATGGGTTGGAGTTTGATAATTTGTTTGTATTGATGTTTTTAGGGCTGCAATTGTTCAGTCAGTACCAATTTAAATGAATTAAACCATATTTCATTGCATAATTCAGTGATTGTTTGAAATCAGTAGGTAAACAGATAACGCAATAATAGCGTTTACATCGAACGGTCCCAGTGTGGTGTGAGCTACTTATAAGTAGTATATGACGCGAGTGTCAACGTAATGTCTGGCAGCAGAAGATGGGGGGAGATCAAGAAAGGAAGAGTTAGAACACAATGGAATTTGTATGAAACGCATGAATAGTGACAATGGATTGATGTTTTGCAACAGCAACAGTCCAGTTCGATATGATGGACTGATATTTTGCAGATTAACGATTTACGATATGGTTTTCCGATTTTACTGATTAACTCTGTAAATTTCGTTAAATACAGTCCGGTTGCCCCACCTGTGTTCTCTTTCACTACACCAGGAGTAAACATCCAGCCAATGACAAGTCTTGGATTCGAATGCTAGTCACTGTCCATCTCTGTTTATCATATTGTTTTATTTTAATGTAGTTTCTTGATATGTTTGCATGTACTTATTACTACTTTATAATGTTTAACTTTTTTTTTTTAAACATAAACATGATTTCATGTATGTGAAATGATTGTGGAGAGGTTGGATTTGTTGTAATTCAAAATTGTAATATTTATTGTCATACAGATGTTATAGTTGAATAGTAGTTCTTATAGATTGGAGAATTAACTGACTGGCTGGGTGATATTAACACTGATTCAATGGCTAGTGGAAACCAATTTTCTTTTTAATGACTTCCTTCTATCGATGGAGTCATTAGACTAAAAATCATTGTGTATATCATGTTCAATAGATGAAGTAGTAAAGCTTCATCAGTTGAGGTGGTTGGGACCTAACCAACGACTGTCGCGACGAGCTATGTTTTGCAGTGTAGAAGTAGGTTGGAAGAAAGTTAAGGGCGGCCAAATTAAAACATGGCACAAATCCATGAAGTCACTGACAAGTGGACTGAGTTATGTTGGTAGATGAAGGCTACGTGGTTGGGGTCCGCGAGACGAAAGTCACTGATGGTTAGAGACCTTGAACAACATGGCTCCGAATCGTTTGCAATGGCGCAGGTGCATCCACTCTTTCTGTTCTCTGCAATTCTAGATTTCTGAATTCCTCATAATCTCTATCTTCCTCTATCTAAAGTTATCTCACTGAATCATACTCCTCGAATCGTATCTTCGCTCCTTAATTTCCTCCATTACTTCTATCACTCCTGGATTTGAAATAACAGTTGATTCTCTGTGCTAATGTGGTATGGCAACCTGAACTTATGTACGAAGTTCTGCGTTGTATCTGTCTGTGTATATCATGTTTACAATGTTTGGATGAGTGCATGTGTGTGTATATGTGTAGGAGGGAGTCAGTTATCAGATATCTCTTGAACTAGGATACGAAGGGATGCAGATTTGTGTTTTAATTGTGGAAGCTATACTTTGGACTTATAGGAAACTGAGATTTACACAACATTCTGAAAAAGACAAAGACCTGCATAGTAGGAAATTTTTATTCATCCCTACGTCGATCTTAACCAAGTACATTCACTTTCTTGAAAAAAAGATTTTACTAACGATTAATGCACATAAATGAAATGGTGAAATCACAAACGCGTTTTACTGTTGATTAATGTTTAAGTTGATTGCTTTATGGCATACTGAACGTATTTATTGATTGAAGTCAAGCAATAACTCTTATGGATGCTGGCTCAGTGGTCAAGAGGTTAGGCGGTCTCACGCGAAACGGATGGCTCTTGGTATGATTCTCGCCTGTGGAGTTGTAAACACATACAGCTGACGAGTCCTGTCGTAGGATGAAACAGCCGTCCAGTGCTTCCAGGTGGTCTGAAATCGGTCGATTCATAATTTCAGTTCTGTTTGACAATCTCCACAACCGTCTATTGACTATTAACCGTTTAGAATCTTACAGAATACGTCAATCCTGTCATAATTGTAGATAGTAACTTGGTCGATCGAATTCGACACCCAGTTAAACATGAACTGTAATACTGCTCTCAGCGATCATTCCAAGTATAAACCCTATTTAATATGATTTTATTACGTACTTGCTTACGCCTGTTGTCCGAAGTGCAGCATAGGCAGCTGACCAGCAATCTCCAGCCTGCTCTGTCCTGGGCCTTCCTTTCTATTTCCGTCCAACTTTTGTTTATTCTTCTCATGTCTTTCTCGGTTTCTTGGCGCAATGTGTCCTTTGGTCTACTACCCTTTTTCTCTTGGCATTGAAGATTCCAGATGTGGGCTTGTCTTGTGTTAGGATATTCATCCAATATCCTAAGAGAATTATTGGTCATTTCCTATTGGTTAATTCCTACTGTTCGATTTTATGGTCGTCCTAGATATCAATGTCACTTCACATGTTACTTCCTTTTGGTTGTCTTAACTGTCAATGTCACAGACTTCGATGCTGTTTCCTATTCAACCTAAATGTATAAATACGCATTATTTGTAACGTTTTATGACCGCGACCAGGACCAGGGCTCGGTCCCGGATCCCTAGTCCGGGATCTTGATTCTCTTCTGGATTCGGACCTCGTACTTTCTGGATGCTTGTAGAATACATGTTCTACTTCATATCATATCTTATTTTTTACTAAATATGGGGGTTGGGATAATCAGATTTGAGTAGCATGTCGTGTCGCCGGATCCTCGATCTCCGCTCTCGTTTACGTCTAAGGTAAACTCGTAATAGTTCAAGTATATCGAGTTGACGTGTTTACGTTCAGGCGTAACACTTGTGATTCGGGTGAGTGTGTGTCCTATCCACTTCCAGCCCTGTTTCTCTGTTTCGATGATCCTTTGTCCATGAGATTCCCATCCTATCAGTGCTTTTTGTGCTTTTTTGGATAACACGAGTGCAACCGCTTGTGTGTGTGTGTGAGACATTTTCCTCCTTATTGCCGGAAAATAACAACATCTTTCCTGAAGCTAGTCTTAGTTGTCCAACCTTCGTCCAATTCGTTTCACTGGTTCCAAACGTCCTTACGTTGTATCTTTTCATCTCTGAAACAATTTGGGACAGTCTTCCGGTCTCCTATATTGTTTGAACATTCCATGTACCTAAACGAATGGTTTCTCTGGTTTTGAGAAATGACATCGGCCTCGTGAGTTCCGAAGGAACTCGGCTTTGATATCATGAGACGTCATGACTCCTCTGAATGAAGACCTTCTAACTCCCAGAGCAGAGTTTAATTGATTTGAATTAATTTTTTCTAGTTAGCGTTTTTTTAGCGAATTAGTTTTCTACGGAATGGGGTCGCCAGCCCCACGCCCAGTTCTCCTCCTTTATCCGAGCTTGGGGACCGTCAGTGTCCCCGGACGAGCTCCAGGCAGAGTTAATATGATTTTATGCAAGGATCTTTGATTTTTTTTCTGTCACAAAACTTACAGATCGCTAAAATAATATCACTCTTTAGCCATGATATAAATAAGTAATTGGTTATTCGTTTAAATTTCATCAAACGATTTCTTACACTATCCCATATTTATCCATCTTAGATAAATCAATAAATATATGTTTTCACCTTGTGACAATTATTATCACTTACAAGATTTGACTTACATATTTATGTATCCGCTATATTTCCTTTGTAATAAGAAGAAAGTTAAGCGTGGCCAAACCAAAACATGTCACCAATCCATGAAGTCACAGACAACTGGACTGAGCCATGTTCATAGGTGTCGACTCTCTGGTTGATACCCGCGAGATGATAGTAATCGATGGTTACAGACTCTGGATGACATGGCTCAAGTGCATTTATTGTTTTTGTTCTCTCAAGTTCCAAACTTCAGAATTCCTCATCACCTTTATCTTTTCCTTCCTTCTTGAATAATATTGTCGAACTCTAATCTCTCCGATTGTTGCTAATACCTTTACTACCTGTACCACTATGGGATTTGAATTGACAATTGCATCTCTGTGCTAATGTGTGTATGTACGTATGTCCCGATCGAAGCTGCTACCATGACGTGGTGATCGGGCTTGCCTATCGTGATGACTCGACCGAGCTATATTGGCTGGAACATATGTTCCTGAAGGTTCTGCCATGCCAGGCAGGTCGACTAGAGAACGATGAGACTAAAAGCAGCTATTCAAGGTCTGAGGGCGAAGTCGTACTGCTGATTGCTGAGGGGTGTGACAGCAGTAAGGTGTTTCCCTCAGACAACCAGCATCTGCAGCGATGCTGCCTTCTCACAAGGAAGGAAGGGTTAGATAAGGCCGACCCTAAAATTGTCACACCTCACCCTACCTCACGGATTTGCGTATCCGTCGGTGCGATCGTCCACTAGGGGCTTTCAAGAGCGGTGCTAATACTGAAAAAGGACGTGCGTGACCGGCCTCAAGCAGTTGTCCTTTGGACTCTGCTGTCACGCTCGCAGGTCTTTAAGACAAACTCTAATCTACGTTCCCTTCCAGGTTCCTCAAGAAACAACCTTCTACAGTGTGGGCAGTCGGGAAGTGATAACCGCCCTCATACCCGTAACAGCACGAGACCAATCTGGTCGAAATCAAATCCTTTCTACACCCACACATACCTCTCTTATCTCCACAACTAACTCTACTCACATTCCCATATCTGACTGCACCGCTAATGCAAACGATGCGTGTTCACGAAACGTCATTCCTGGTCTCTTGAAACCTCGTTCTAGTCTACATGTTGGAGCATTTAATGTATGGACATTGTGTCAAATAGGGCAACAGGCATCATTAGCTAGGACTTTAGAATCTCGTGCTATCGATGTATGCTGCGACTCGGAAACGCGCATACAGGATCCTAGTAAAATTATTAATCTGATTTCACCTTGTCAAAATAAAGAAGCAGCTCGATATACTCTTCGTGTATCCGGTAGCCCTGATGCTGCTTCCAGGGGTCTTGCTGGCGTAGGCATAGTATTGAGTCGTAGAGCTGAACAATCTCTCCTAGACTGACTGAATAGGCATATTTAAAAAAAACAAACTAGCCAACCTACATGTTACCTTATCTGCTCATTTTTGTTACTTCTTTGTTTATATTATTTCAATTATTATAGATTTAAATACATCAGGTGAATTAAGTTTACAATCAGATATTACACCAGAACAATTAACTGCTGTAGAAGCTGATGTATTTTGGTGTATATCACATCTGTTAGATACTATACAAGATAATTATACATTTGCTCAACCTGGTCTACAAAACAATGTGAAAATGTTAGCTAGTCTAATTGAACGTATTGATAATAAATTATATCAACATTTTTTACAAAATGATATTGAATTTTTACAATTTGCTTTTCGTTGGATGAATAATTTATTGATACGTGAATTACCGCTGCGTTGTATTATACGTTTATGGGATACTTATATGGTAAGTTGTAGTTTAGTGTTTTTATTTTTCAAATCATGTGTTGTTTACTTTGAAGATGAGGAATATGCTAGTATTAGCAATTCGGTTGTGAGTGAAATTATCATGGAGAAAAAAGAACGAGAACAAGATGTATTATTCTAGGAAATTTGACTGATAAGCAGAGTATATTGAGCATGTTGATCGCTTCACTTATTTGAGGAATGTCATCAGTCCTAATGGCCTTGATACTGACGAAACTTTAACATGGATACAGAAAGCTCGATTGGCTTTTGCCAACTTACATCACATGTGGCGCAGGCGAGATATCTGTTTGTTAACTAAAGGCCGAGTCTTCTGTGCAGCAGTTCGCTCAGTCTTATTAGATGGATGCGAAACATGGCCGGTAAAAACAAAGTTTATTCGTAGGTTGTTAGTATTGAATCAAACGTGTCTTCGAAGTTTTACTGGTGTATCCTGGGACAACCAAGTGAGCAGTGCTATGGTTAGGAAACGCGTACTAGGTAAGAATGGCAGATCAATAAGTGACGTATTGAAACGTTATCGATTGAGATGGTTGGGACATGAGTTACATATGCCCAATCACTGACTGCCTCGCCAAGCTATGCTTTGCGGTGTAGGAGTAAGTTGGAATGAGTCTAGGGTCAGCGAAACGAAAACATGAAAGAAATCCATGAGGTCACTAACAAGTGGACTGAGTCATGTTGGTAGGTGTCGACTACGTGCTTGGGGTTCACAAGACGAAAGTAACCGATGTTTAGAGACCCTGAATAACATAGCTCAAAATCGTTTGCAATGGTGCAGGTGGATCCACTCTTTATGATCTCTCGAATCCCAACCTGAATCACTCATCATCTCTATCTTTCTCTTTCTAACCTTATCTCACTGAATTATACTTCTTGAATCATAACTTTGAACCTTAATCTTCTCCATTACTGCTAATTCTGCTACTATCTCCACCACTATGTGATTCGGACTGGCAATTGCTTCCCTGTGCTAATGCGGTATGGCAACTTGAACTTGTGTTTGTACGTACGAAATTCTAAACTGTAACTGGCTGACTTACTGATAGGTAGAACATATTTTCATGGACCAGTTCAGCTGGGATTGAACCACACTTAAAGAAATCGATGTCAGTCTTCTAGCTCCTGACAAATGTTGAAAAGGCTGTAAGCAGTTTAAATAGAGCGAGGACAACAAGGCAGGATCTAATGGATCCACTTCTGAAATTTTCATGGTTGATGGTCCAGTTGTAACAGTTAGATTAACTGAGATTTTAGCTGTAATCTGGGAACCCTAAACGTAATCCCATCTGAATGGTTTCAAACACCAACAAAGGACAAAAGTCCTCTTGTGACAATCGCATAGGAATCAGTCGAACTGATATAGTGTCTAAAATATTAACTTTAATTATGCTCTGAGATCTGTTCAATATGAAAATGCATTGATTTTATTAGTTGTATACAATACATGGATATTGTATTGAATTTAACTAAGTAAAAGTACGCTATACTGACAACCTTGAGCGAACCAATTCGAATTAAAATAGCCTCTCATGTATTTTGCGCCATATTTAAAGTACAACAATACATATCTAGAAAGTAAAAATTAACGATATATAATCATTAAAATGTTAGAAACCAACAGAAATTTCTGTTATTAAACTGAAAAGTGAATTTAAGATGGCGGTTAAGCTAAATTACTATACATAACTACTCTGAAGTCAGTCAGTCAGCTATAACGTAGAACTTCAAGAGTACATTCATCAGTTCAAATCCCATAGTGGTAGAAATAGTGGAAGTATTACTGACAGTGGAGAAGATTAGGGTTCCAAGATATTATTCAAGAAGTATAATTATGTGAGATAAATTTAAAAAGCCTGAGATGAAAGCTGTGAGGAATTCAGACTACAATTTGAGAGAAGATTAAGAGTGGATGCAGCTGCGCCATCGTAAACACTTTTCACCTTTGTCGTTCAAGGTCTGTAACCAACGGTTACTATTGACTCGTGGACTCCAACCAGGTAGTCTACATCTACCAACATGACTCAGTCCACTTGTCAGTGACTGCATGGATTTGTGCCATGTTTTGGTCTGGCCGCTCCTAGTTTTCTTCCAACCTATTCCTACACCACAAAACATAGCTCCTCGTAGTAGTCGGTGATTGGACATTCGTAACCCGTGTCCCAACCACCTCAACTGATGAAGTTTCACTACTTCAGCTATTGCTTTGCCATCTTTATCTAATGCTCGCTTCCTTATGGAAGCACTGCTTACTCGGTTGTTCCAGGGTATACGATCAATGCTTGAAAGACTTCTATGATCGAATACTAATAGCCTACGAATATCCTCAACTCTTATCGGCCATGTTTTGCGACCATCCTCTTAAGGCAAATCTTTGAATAAAGTACTTGTTACGATTCAATACGTTGCGATAAGTGTTTGGTGAAAATAAATGAACAGTAGAATGACAAGGCTTTCTGTTATAGCTGATGTTAGTTCGTAATGAAAACGCCAACTCCTAATGCTCACAACTAAACTCAGAACTCGCGCGTTTGCTCTTTAACACGTGACCCTAAACCTATTCGCATCAGAGCAGGTCGCAGTTGGTGATAGAATCTCGCCCTCAGACCTTGAGTAGTTGCTTTTAGTCTCATCGTTCTCCAATCGACCTGCCTGGCATGATAGCACCTTCAGGAACATATGTTCCAGCCAGTATAGCTCGGTTGGGTCATCATGATAGGCATGTTCGACCACCACGTCAAGGTAGCATCTATGGTTGGGGAGTTGGATGATAACCCTAACTCCATTACATTAACCCGACTTTGAATGGTGCGAAATTCCTTCCAGTACAAACAATAATTCGACACGTTACGGTTGATTATTCAAATGAAAATTGTTATTCCAATATGATACTTGTGACGTTTTAGCTGTCAAGTTTATAACCAAACAGTGTTTCCTGATTTGGCTGGTAGGTGGTGGTCACTCAAGGTCATCAGTGTATTTGTACTTTTCTCATTAATTAATGTTGTTATATTTCTTCATGTTCGTCTGTTTTCCTCTTCCCCTTTTTCTTTCGCTGAATTCAACTACAATTTTGGATCATATGTATATATATAGTCAGAAAATAGTGGGTTTTCCAATTTTCACGTTTATGTTTGTGCAGCTTTCTTATTACAATTTTCTAATGATCTATGCCGTGAACGTGATTTTCAAGGTATCATGTTATTATTACAACATTTGCCAACATTTCATTGGACTGATGAAAATATGAATTTAGTACTAGCTGAAGCATTTCGCTTGCATTCATTATTCAATTCAGCTATGCATCATTTAGATTTCCGTCGTCAATCGGATTTTGATTGAACGCAACAATATTGGCGTGTGCTGTGTGCTCTGTGTGTGTGTTTCTGTGCCTACGGACGGATATGTGTGTACAGCCAATTATTATTTTGAAACATGATTAAAGACTCTCAACTACTACACACTAGTGAAATGAAAAGTCTTTCTCAATTCGTATTTCTTCCTTTCCCCTTTTTTGTGTAACAATCTAAATTGGCTACTGTTACATTTTATTTACCCCCCCCCGCCCACCTCCGTCAATACTGCTCAACTTCTAATTACGTGTAATCGTAGTCATAGTGGTAGTAGTAGTAGTAATAGTAGTAACCGAAACAGACGACGTGTTACCTCTAACGACGACCACTACTGCTACTGCTGCGGCTGCTGCTCTTGCTGTACATCGGTACATTAAAATTTCAGTTTGATTTTTCTAAATTTTATTCAATATCAAAGTATTTTTTTTCTCCTCATTTTATTTTCCCCACCTCTCTCTGTATCTCTCTATCTCTATTGTGTATTTGATTTATATAAATGTATTTATTGATAAAACTGACTAAAATTTGTCCTTTGAATCGTTTTTTTCCTATTATTCACTTGTATTTATTTATCAACATTGATATAATTATTATTTTGCTGGTTGATTTCAATCTGTATTCCATGTTTTTATAGTTACGTTTATATATATATATATATGTAAAGCTCTACAATTCTCGATAGATAGACAGCTATGTGTGGAGATGGTTGGTTTGTGCGATGTGTGCGTGTGTGTGTGCGCGCGTTCGTTTCTGATTGCTTATTTCACACACAATTCATCAACATCCTAGTGGACGTGTGTGTCTTTCAATAATTTTTTTCCTACACAGTATGTGTACCGGCGCGCGCGCGCGTCTATGCACCTCTCGAACGGAGGAGAAAGAGACCAGTTTGTAGTTTAGTTTAGTATACACCTACACATCATTGTAGAATATGTTTTTTTTATATCAGCATCTATTTTGTATTTGTATATTGTCTTATTTCTATCCGGGGTGGTTAGGTGGTGGTGAACAAGCGCACATTATCTTTATACGAGCAGTATTCTTCTAGACTCTTTTGTCCTTTGTGTGTGCATGTGTGTATACAATTGTATGTGTTATTGTACTTGAAAAATGTGTTTGTACACTCCTTTTTTTTCTACTGTTTAGATGATGATGACATGAAATAATCTCTTCCATTTTTTTTGTTAATGTGTGTGATATGCTTAAAATAAAAGTTATTTTTTGTTCAACTCCACTGGTTGTATGTCTTTTCACTAGTACACGAAACTAGTCACCAGTAGTGGAGTGTCCTGGAGTCAAATGTCAGCAGTTGCCAACTACTGTAGACATTCGTTGAGGTTGCATAATACTGTTATGTTCGTTACTAGGTACGATTGAAACTATTATGGGTTCACCTTAGTTGATAAACGCGAACCAGCGTTCACGTAGGCTACCTTGATTTGAAACGGCAGAAAAGAAGTCTTGATAGGCGTAGAATGTATGTTCTACATACACCCAGCAAGCACGATGCAATCAAGCACACAAATCTCGTTTATTTACACATTATAGAATCGTCCTTTGGGCAGTCACAAAAATAGCACACTAAAATACACAGTAGCCAATCACAACCAAGGATTTTCCAGGTGGGAAATGAAATCTCATGGTCAACTGATCAGCCCATGCTCGCGAACGTGAAAACCAAAATAAGGCATTTATCAAGCGAGTTCTGGGGATCTAACGTCTCAAAAAAATACTCAACCTTTTCCTACTAAGGTGGTTGAGACATGTGTTATGTGTGTGCCCAACTACTGGTGTAGGAGTAGGCTGAGAGAAGGCTAGAGTTGACTGGATCTAAACATGGCACAAATCGACAACTGGACTGAGCCATGTTAGTAGTTGTAGTTGGGGTTCGCTTGATAATCTCGACCAGTGGTAAAGACTTTGAATGAAATGTCGTAAATGTATGCATTCTCTGTTTCCTCCCATATTTTAAAGTTCCGGATTCTTGATCCTATTTTATTTTATGGACGGATTGAGTTATATGTTGCAGCTAACTCTGGACTCTCTCACATTTGAAGTGCATCGATTTACATGTGATTTTCAATTCATTGATGAGTAGACTAATCCACGCAGAAATTGACGATTACAATTCAGAGAAAAAGATAACTATCTATTACACCTATAATATTGAGTGGATTTATTCATCTTACCCTATTTAATCCTGCTGACATTATCAGCTTCAATTATACTGTAGTTCTGTGTATTACATCCTACAGACATTGAAGCCTTGTTTTCTTTATGTGTGTAAGGTTCGTACATGTTATGCTCCTCAATTGATATGTTTGAAACATTTTCGAATTCACCTTAGTCGGTAAACGAGAGCGAAGACTAATTATCCACTGATAAGATAGGCCATTTTGATCCAATTTTCCCCGGCCCTGCTAACTATAGGCAGAAGTTTCGATATTGCGTAGAAAGTGTATTCTACAAGCAACCAGAAAATCGAGGTTCACAAGCACACAAATCGAGTTTATTTATACATGAGAGAAACGTCCTTTGGGGAGCCACAAAAATATTACATCAACCAATAAAAGTCAAGGATTTTCCGTGTGGGAAATGTGATCTCAATGTCAGCTAAGCAACTTATGCGCGAAAACCTAAGAAATCCAAAACTAGGACATTTATCAAGTGAGTTCTGAGTTTCTAGCGTTCCCAACAGTGCAAAAGATATGTTTACTAAAAAAATAGATTTCAGTTCAAGTAGAGAAATATTGTGTTTTGATTTTCAAGGCGTACTTGACTGAATTCACTGATGTGGTCAGATTGTAGATTTCAGAGTTTTATGATCATTTCAAGGCCGCTTTAGTGCTCTCTGTTGGTGTTATGCTCGTCTCTAGGTATGCTTTAAACTTTTATGGGTTCACCTTAGTCGAATAACGAGAACAAACAATGAACCAGCGTCCAGGTAGGCTACTGTGATCCGATTGTACCAGCAAGAAGTCTTGATATAGTGTAGAAAGTCTATTCTGCAAACACCTAGTCACAAAAATAGCCCAGTAACCAATCGCAGTCAAGGATTTTCCTGGTGGGAAGAGTGATTTCAAGGTCAACCGATCGGTACGCGAAATAAACATATCTATCAAGCGAGTTCTGCGGATCTAACATCCTCAACAGTCGGAAAATTCAAACAGACAAAAGTAAGGATTTTCAAATTCGTATGCTGGCTATGAATTTGTTGGTCTGATGCTTATAAAGTTTAGTAAACTATTAAATTATTCTATACTCAACCTAGTCAACTAAATTACCGACATATCGTCTGGTGTATTTAATATAGAATGCCGTAATGGAATGACCTTAATGAGGAGGTCTTTTGGTGGCAATTAGACGAATGAATGTGTCCCTTTCCCAACGGGAAATAATGTATTCTTGCATATTTATTCTGTGGACAAATAGATTTGTTCTTCCACTCTTTCCTCGTTCAAATTATCAGTTTGTGGATTAGTGTGTTTCACTTTCATATCTCGAACATCGCATTTCTTTCACTCTGAGAAGACAACTTACTTAACACATTGGTTTTCCACACCGTGACATTTCATCACAGCCTACCCACAGAAAGTAAAATTTGTCCAGTGAAAATAATCATCCTTGTTATAACACAACTTACAGTTCATATCAACAACGAAGTCTTATTCGTAGTGTTTGATTTCATCCTCATACAAAGTGCATCGAAATTTGGATGAACTATGCTTGAAGTTAGGATAAATCAGAGTCTTATACAAAACTGTGATGTATATTAATTTAAGAACTTAATTTCTCGTCAATTCAATTCACAGGCCTAGACCTTTAATTATTGCAGTTTAAGCACGTTTTGTATGCTATAACTACTAGTGCTGTATATGAGTGGAATCCGCCTGTTAACCATGACTTGCGGTGTAGGTGTAGATTGGAAGAAAGGTAGGGGCGGCCAAACTAAAACATGGCGGATATCCATGAAGTCAGTGACAGATGGAGTGAGTCACGTTGGTAGATGTAGGCTACCTCTTTGGAGTCCGCGAGACGATAGTCACTGATGGTTAGAGACCTTGAATAACGTGGCGCAAAATCGTTTACAATGGTGCATGTGCATTCATTCATTGTGTTCTCTCAAATTCTAAGGTTCTGAATTCCTCATCATCTCTGTCTTTCTCTTTCTAAATTTATTCCACTGAATTATACTTCACGAATCATATCTTCGCTATCTAAGCTTTTCTATTACTGTTAATACTTCTACTATCGCTATCACTCTTGGTTTTGAACTGACAGTTGCGTCTCTGTGCTGATGGGCCATGGCAACCTGAACTGACGTACTTACGTACGAAGTTCTGCGTTGTATCTGTCTGTCTGTCTATCTGCCTGTTAACCAAAGAATAAGTTTACTGCGCAACAGTTCACTCCGTCCTACTATACCATTATGAAACATGGCCACTAAGAGTAAATGATATTCCTAGGTTACTAGCATTCAATCACACAGTCCTTCGGAGCACTGCTCGAATATGTTGAGACCACTGAGTAACCAATGCTGTTGTTAAGAAACGAGTACTAGGTAAGGATGGCAGATCAGTTGATTAAGTAGTCACTCTTCATTAGTTCAGGTAGTTGGGGCACGTGTTACGTATACTCAACCACCGACTACCCCAACAAGCGATGTCTGGTGTAAAGATAGTCTGAAAGAAAGCTAGGGACGGTTAAACCAACACATGACACCAGTCCATGAAGTTAATGAAAACTAGATTGAGTTGTGTTAGTAAGTGTAGACCACCTGGCTCAAAATCGTTTTTAATGGCACAGCTGCGTCTGTTTCCACGCATCCGGGTGATCAGTTAACCTTGAGGTTACATTTTCCACCCGGAAAATCTTCGGCTGTCATTGGTTGATGTATTATTTTAGTACGCAATTTTTGTGGCTCTCCCAAGGACGTTTCCATCATGTACAAATAAGCTCGATTTGTGTGCTTGTGAACCACATATTTTCTGGGTGCTTGTAGAATACACTTTCTACGCCATATCAAGACTTCTTGCTCTACTTAGTGGAGCCTTGGGACAGTCAGATCAGAATAGCTTATCCTGTCAGTGGATCATTTGTCTTCGGTCTCGTTTACCGACACTAAGGTGAACTCGTAATAGCAGCATTCATGCATATCAGTTGACGAGTATAACAAATTCGTGTTACTAATATTAGTAACAGTTTATTGATCCTTTTGCAAGTTAATCAATCATGTCTACTATTAGTCATTAATTAGTTCATACATTTTTTCTACTTTCCATAATTCCGTACAGTGAGTGATGTATTCTTCTTTGATTTTTTTTTGTAGTTAAAAACATCAAATTTTTTTCTGACAAAACATTTAAAGGACAACTGGAAAAAGAAAATAAACAAACAATTTGTTTTTGCTTGGAATTTATCAATTCACATAAATGAAAACAGATTTTGATCTGTTTTTGTAAAAAATTCTATGCTTTCAATATGATAAACAGTAGTAATATTGTGTATGTAATGAAAATATTTGTCAGATGGAATCATCAACTTTACAATTTTATCGATAATTAGCTTTTTTGGATATATACAAATAAATGTGTACATATTTATTAGCATTGCTCATGTTTCACTGAGACAACCGAGTAAGCAATGCTGTTGTTAGGAAACGAGTACTAGGTAGGGATGGCAGATCATCATCTGTTGAGGTGGTTGAGATATGTGTTACGTATGCCTAACCACCGTCTGCCTAGTCAAGCTATGTTTTGCAATGTAGGAATAGGTTGGAAGAAAGGAAGGGGTGGACAAACCAAAACATAGCACGAATCCATGAAGTCACCGACAAGTGGACTGAGTCATGTCGGTAGTTGTCGACTAACCTGGTTGAGGGCCGTGAGATAATAGTAACCGATGGTTAGAGACCTTGAATGAAATGGCTCAGAATCGTTTGCAATGGTGCACGTGCATTGATACTTTATGTTCTGTAAAATCGTAACTTTCAGAGCTCCTCATCACCTCTATCTTTCTCTCTTCCTAAATTTACCTCATTGAATTATGCCTCTATAATAACATCTTCGAACCATAATCTCTCCGATTACTGCTTATACTTCTACCACCTCTACCACTATGGCATTTGAATTGACAATTGCGTCTCTGTGCTAATACGGTATGGCAACTTGAACTGATGTACATATGTACGTACGGAGTTTTACATTGTTGTCGATTGATTGATTGACAC